TTCGTGAAAGAGTGGAGAAAATTAAAGAAAACGGAAAAAAGACAAAAAAGAAAACCTACAAAATGGGCAGGAAAAATATGGCGGGAAAAAACTCGCGTACGTGCACATTTGGGACAAAACTTCAAAAATATTATAATTTCTTCAAATTTTAGTTAGAAAGATATGATTTGATCGTGGAGCAGGCCAATTTACGAAACGAGAGATAAGAAATAAAAAGAGGGATACAAGTAGGGGGGTAAAGGTAAAGGAGGATTGGTTGAACCATACAAGTGAGCATAGAATTGGCGGAAAACGACCCACGCACGCTGATACAGCCGCCGCGAGCTGGCTGTGAGAGTAGAATTTAGTAGACCTGTCAAGTTAGCACCCAACTCTTCGGCAATAGGTTCTCGGGGATGGGGGTCGGGAGCTGGTCGGTTTCTGGTGAAAGTTCCTTGAACTTTGTTACCTGGGAACGTGAAATGTAATCGGCACTAGAATTGATTAACCCAGGAATATGGCGAGCTTGAAATATTATGTTATGTTTAAGGCAACTTAGTACTAAATCCCTACCATGATACCCTGGTGTTTAGACGTCTGATTATTAATAATGTCAACAACGGCGGCATTGTCAGTGAAAAATATGATACGTTTATCTGCCATTATGTGCCCCCAAATGTGAACAGCAATGACAATGGGAAAAAGCTCCAAAAGCGCGATGTTATAACATTTCCAGTGGTTCGGCCAAGTTCCGTGAAGCCAATGGCGATCAAAGACCGCATCAAAACCTATCGAACCTGCGGCATCAGTATAAAGCTGAAGACTCTGGGATGTTTCCCAAACGTCACTTAACAAAAACGATCGCCCGTTAAAATCGTCAAGAAAACGGAGCCAAAGCATGATATCTAATTTAGCGCCTCGCGAAAGACGAATGTGATGATGAGGCTTGTTGACGCCTTTGGTAAGATCTATCATGCGACGCAGAAAAGCGCGACCCGGAACAACCACGAGGCATGTAAAATTCAATAAACCTATCAGTGATTGGAGTTCCTTTAGGCAGACGGAGCGCCGGGCCTGGAAATTTTGTAACATCGCACGACACTTGAGAAGTTTGTCTTCTGGTAGGCGAGCCTCTTGGCGTACAGAATCAAGCGTAATTCCAGCAAATTGTAAAACAGTCGCGGGACCCACCGTTTTTTCAGGGGCCAAGGGAACGCCAAGATAATTACACATCAAAATAAAATTATCTAAGTCGTGTTCACATTGTCCTTTGCTTGGGGCTATGAATAAAAAATCGTCTAAAATATGTAATACTGCGCAAGCACCAAGATGATTGATGGACAACCACTCAAGTGCCGTACTAAATGCTTCAAAAATCGCACAGGAACTGGAAAGCCCCATCGCGAGACACCTATCAAAATAGTACATGTTGTCCCATTTCAAACCAAGCAAGGAATAGTCAGCAGGGTGAATAGGAATTATACGGAAAGCAGATTTCACGTCGGTTTTGGCCATAAAACAACCCTTTCCTAACCGCTTGAGTAACTTCACCGCATCCCCGACCGATGCGTATTTCACGGTAGAACAATAATCCGGGATAAAGTCATTTACGGAAGACCCTTTGGGGTAAGATAAATGGTGTATTAATCGAAATTCAGATGGATCCTTTTTGGGAACAATGCCCAGTGGAGAGCAACGAAAATTGGGAAAGGGGGGAGCTGTGAAAGGACCAACAATTCTCCCTGCATCACATTCCTTGCGTAACTTAGCATGCGTTACCACTGGCTGATCCAGAGCGCTTTTAAGATTAGGAGACTCAGACGAAAACCGCTCACCAACAAAGTGAATACGAAAACCAAAACCAAAACCGTCAACAAGAAATTGTTTTAAAACTCTGTCATAACCATGCAGCAAAAAATCAAGCCGATCCACTCTTACTGGCGTGACTGGCTTGCTGTGGAGAACCCGATGTACTATCTCGTTTGCCTTTTGAACTGAAAGGGAATCCACTTTTGGGCGCCGAAGCTGAGCACTGGCCGCCCGGGTGTTTTCCACCACATTTAAAACACACGTGTTCGAATTTGCATCCGGAACAGTGCTTACCTGCTTGAAAGGCCCAGCAGGTCCCTTTCGGAAAGAATTGAGAACGAAAACGTGGTTTGTTGGTGGGCGGTTGCGGTTTGCGAAAAGTATTTGACGCCCGTAACCACAACTCCCAATGTATCCTATCCCATGGATACTGCTCTGGTGCCGATTGTCTTACGTAACGAAATTGTTCATCATACCAATGCCAATCTCCCCCCTTTGCAGCCAGATCCCGGACCACCTCGCAATATTTCATTAATTGAGGAGTGTAATTGTTAAATCTTTCCGCGTAAACAGAAACGAAAATATTAAACGCAGAGACCCACTGGGAAATGTTGGCTATTTTCTTAGAAACGTGACAGGGTTCAAGCGTCAGTTGAGGCTGGCTCGAAGAACCGGCGACTGACGGTGTCATAGATAATGAGTATTTCCCCTCCTGCTGAGGTGAATCAGACAATAACGACCCGAAATTAATATATTCATTCGCCCAAATTTTTGCTTTGATTTTGGAACTAACTCTCGAAGTGAGAGGGACAGAAACACTGGTGAATTGAACTTGTGGTCTTTGATCATACGGACCCGTGTTAACTAAGTCTAAAGGATCAACTGCTCCAATACCTGACTGAGGATTGGTGATGACATGGACGTCGTCATCCACAGCCTGTTCAACAATTCCAGTTGGCGCTTGCGTAACTACTGGCGTTGGGGAGTTGTTGTCGAGCAGCGAAGCCAATTTCTCAGGCGAGAAGGCCGTCTTTACTGCTTGTGTAATTACGGCAGAAATGGTAGCGGTGATTGCGTCGACATCCACGGACACTGTGCCTGGGGATGAACTTGAAGGGTTGGAAGCAAGCACGTTAGCCTGCTCAGTTGTAGTGCTCTCATGAACAGTGGGCGCCTCCTCAGGACGCAGTCTTGGCCGCCTGGCTCTCTTGTTGGGGCGAACGGATGGAATGGCGGTGGGCGCGGTAGCTTGAGTTGCTGGTCGTTTTCGCGGAGGCATTTTTTACAAAAAAGACTACTGAAACTGGCAAAAATAAACAAGACTGAGACAATTAACAGCACTGCAGGGGATACGAATATACCCCGCGAGCCATTGTTGTCTGTAAAATTACTTAGAAAAAAGATTTGCCAATATTTACCGTTTCAAAGAAAAGAATACAAACCAGTGCCTTTTACGTTTTGTAGTCTAACTAGTGTATGAACGTCCTCTACCATTTCCGCCATTAATTGTGACGGATTCTTTTATAGCCTACATTTATTAGTGCCAGAGTAGTTTTTGCTGAATAATTTATGGGATAATTGACAACCATCGGGTAGAGTCAGTTGAACTATTTCAATTTGCATTCATTTTCGATCTATGGGGCTGCTTCCCTTACCATACTCAGGAATACTCTGGTCTTTTAAGGAACAACAGATTCAGGCGCGGATCCACACCGGTTTCCACCGTTTTACGGAAATCGGTCACATTTTTCAAAAAAATATATTTTTGATAATAAAAACACTTTCAGGGTTGGAATCTGGCCAGTATCCTGTCTGAATGACTAGGAAATCCAGGAAAGGGGACTTTAAGGAATGAAAATCCAAAAAATTTCCTGGGGGAGCCCGTCTCCGGACCCCTCTGGAAGCTTGCGCCTTCAGCGCTCGTTTAGGAAATCGATCGGTATTTATCCTAGATCCGCGCCTGAGATTTGATCCATGACATCCATGTCTTTGTTCGGGTTCTTCAGCAGATTGTCACTTGGAGTATTCATAACTGGCCTTTGCTACAGAGTTGTTATGGCAGGTAACCAATCTTTAACAAAATTAAAAATTTTGGTCTGTGTCTCATTTCGCGCAAAACGTCCAACATGCTGGTTAAACATTTACTTCAAAGAACTTACCCTTTTGTTTCTTCAATTCACATCGGTTGAAAGGTTTTATATATAAATTTTATGTAGTTCTCCATTAATTGATTATTTTCATAATTTCCTCTTAATTATGGAGTTAAAAAATAAATCTTTTCATGAATGGCTAATAGCCAGAGGTCGGTTCTTCAAAACTGTCTTCGCTCTACGGGGCTCTTGACCGTTCAAATGAAGATCTTGCTCGCACGTCAGCCTCCATACCATTTCTTATGTTTGTTTGCAGGCCTGTAGAAAACCCAAAAATACACTGATAGCAGCCTAAGCTATAGCGCCACAAGTCTCTCTGTACATGCACCTTTTAGGCTTTTTTAAAAGGGTCGCAATACTCTTACGCTGTTTATTAACAAATACTTTCTCAGAATTGAATAAATTAACGGATGGACCTTAATATCGTTTTCTGACTTCAAAATTTGCAAATGAATTGGTCGAATTGCAGTTTTTGAAGAATTCAACTTTAGGAGCCAGTTATTTAATTAAATGGAGTTTAGTCCGTGTTCTGAACAAAACTCTGAAAACCGCATTTTAAGCCATTTTCAGATTGCTCAACGCTTTTATCTAAACATTATTTGTCGTGAACAATTTCAATAAAGTATTTAGGGTAGACTGAAAAAGAACTTATTTTCGTAAATTAAACCACTAAGAAGGAAATTTAGAGCTCCAATGATGTTTTAAACCGTGGCCTAAGGACTTCGTTTAAATAACCGACCCTAGGGTTCACAATGAAACTCTACTTTGTGCCGGTCAATTCAAGCGCCATAAGATCGCGTTAATTACTGAAAATTTATTTGGTCGGTTAATTTTTGGATAATTTGCTGACTATGTTGAGCGAATTGGTGGGCAAAAAAGGTACACCCATACTTTGTACACCTTTTTTGTGTCTCGCATTTTGTGCTCTATATTTCGGGCCTGCTACAAATGCATGCCTGTTGTTTAGGATTGGTAATTTTTATTTTTTTTTATAATGTCTATAATATAAATCTCCGAATTCATAACAGCTTTTGAGTTTAATTTGTCTGTTATTTTTCAGATCCCTGTATAGTAAGAATTCACACAAATCCTTTTATTAAGAAGATGGTAGCTGCAAGAAGAGTGGCATGCTTTACGGGTGCTTCAAATCTCGAGGAGGAACTCGATGATTTTAGAAGTAAAATCAAGTCGGTAAATGACACTTATGATGTAGTGGAAAAGTGCGCTAAGTTGGCTCGCGCCAAACATTACAAGATGTTCGCTTTGGGCAAGGATGGTCTGTGCTTGTCTGGAGCTGACACTCAAAACAGATACCATATCAGTGGTCCAAAAGGGACGGGGTGTAAAGGCGGTATCGGCAAGGAAGATAGTATGTTCGTTTATTCTTTGGGTAAGTGTTGAGTGTTGTTCATCCTTGTTTAAAATCTAGAGAGTTCAGACGTGGACTATGACGCTGCAACAAGACAAGCACATGTCTTAAAAATATATAGAAACGTGTTTGCGAACAATTTTCTTGTACCACGATGTCTTGTAAGATATCTGTGATCAGTTGGATATATATTCACGTTATTAAAAGAGAAATGACGTGTTGTGCTATGCTTTTTCTGGAGGCCAATCAGAGTGAAGGCTTTATTCATTGTTGACGTCAGAGGGACACGTTGATGCTTAGAAAGTATACATGGTCATGCGGAGGCCGGAGAGCTTACAAATTGAGTAATATTTAGCAATTAATGAATCCAGCTTTCGTAGGATATGAAGAATTACGCAGATCGAGAGGGTGTGGCCGAGGTGGATAACACCCTCCGAGATCTGCCTAATTCTTCATATCTACGAAAGCTGAATTCATCAATTGCTTTATTATTCATTCAAAATAATTCTTAGTTTAAAAACAAGCTAAAACACGCTTACCTTCGTCGATGTCAAGTTCATCTCGATAGTGGATGTTTAGAAGATAAAGGGCGGTTCAGGGGTCTGTAAATATACTCCAAATAGCAGATGTTGTCCATCGAGTTGTCTTGCTATGTTTTTAGACAATAGCTAGTCGTGAAACGAGTAAAATGTTGAGCAGAATGTTCCGCCATTTTTGTTTTCACAACCAAAACAACTCAACCTCGTCCCAAGCTTTCTCGGTTAACGGTGCATTAACCTGCAACTGTGCTGCACTATTGACGTCATCGGTGGATTAATCGCAAAGTTGTTCAAAATTTGGTCAACAGAAGCTGGTTAGGGTGAATCATTCGTGTGCTTTTAGCCAATCAGAAACGGAGAAATATTATGAATGAATAATAATTATTTCTATTAAAAACTGAATGATTGGATAATGTAATTCTAGAACTGATTGGCTTAGCTATCATGGTAAAGGGCCATTAACTCATGCTCTCTAAATATGGTAACTGTACGCGTCTGCTCAAAATTAAAAACAAGCTGAAAGTCGGGAATAATTCTAGATATTTCTTGGGCGTTTTTAATGAAACAAGTATTCCCCTCGCGCTTGTTGGATATGCACCTCGTTGGCTATTTACTATCTCATATCCAACGCGCACTCGTGAAATAACAGCTGTTAATTATATAGATGGAGAATAGCGCAATGCAGGGCAAATTGTACAACCGGGAGTACGCTGCTGAATCTCTGACAAAGCCACTTGCAATTGAAGGTTCAATCACCGTGTTTCTCTTCTCCTCAAAATTAATTTTCCTTCTTTATTTTTCGCCAGATCCCTTACCTGTTCTTCAGCCACTTGGATGTTATAAGGACAAAGGCGGAGATCCCGCCTTACCAATTAACTACGCTAATTTCCGCAGTCAGATTAAGTGGAAGCAATTGGAGACGGTGCAGCAGTGCGCACAAGTGGCCTTCAACAAAGGTTACGAATACTTTGCTGTTCAGTTTTACGGAGAGTGTTATACTGGAAATGACGCTTCGCAAACTTATGACAAACATGGCAAGAGTGACAGATGTGTGGAAATTGACAAAACCTTAGGATTTCGAGTGGGAGAGGCGGACACTAATTATGTTTATCGGATAAACATTAATGCAACTTATGATCAAATCCGAGCCTCTTTCCATACTCTGCCTTGAATCAGGTCTGTTTGTTGAGTTAAAACCGCGATAACTTTTCTTTTTAACTACCACAAAGGCATTCGACACATCGATCTTCGATACCACTAATTGAATAAAGCTTTTAAAGTGTGCACGACTACGCCTAGCTTGTAAACAACCCTGAACTGTAGTCTTACTGCTACTTTCTACTGCTATGTAAATAATAATTTAAGTCAAACAGGGTGATGAGAACTCTGCACAAACTGCTCGTATGAAAAAAGCTAAAGGGTATCATTGATAGCATTCATGGAAAATATACCTTTTGTATACCTTACTAACAATGCGTGGGAAAATAACTTATCAACTGCAAATTCATGAGGTTGGGAGTATTATGGCGTTGACTAAACAAGTGGAATATCCGTGGTAACGACAAGATAAAAATATAAAGAAATAAAAGAGATTCGACAATGTCCAGGTAGTAAGAGAAAAACATAATGAAAGTTGTACAATGAAAATGATGTTGTGTTTAGACATGCTCATGTATTATTTAAATGAAGTGAAGTGAAGGTCGCAAATTTTAAAGAGATTCAAGGTGAAACGACTATTCAATTCTTTTTAAATAACTGCATCACGAAGCGTACAACTCCTCAGTTGCCTGTACCAACTTCCAAAAATAAGTTTATGTTCATGACGACTATTATCAGTCTGTAGAGGTACTATATTTCTTCTTTGATAGTGCACGATACCTACTCGTAAGAATTGAAAGAAGAACAAGAACATCATAGTAATAGAACGTCTGGTCAATGTCAGCTTTACAATACAAAAGCGTTGTACTTGGAATCTTCATAACGGAGATTTGTCATCTCATTGTTACAGAAGGTACGTTATCTTTCTTAAACACAAATTGGTCTCTACTTTCGAACCGGAAAATATGTTAATGCATTTTAAGGATAAAACCATAATACAATTGACTCTGAGATTCCACTCTAGTCATTCTCCATTGAAACGTTTCTTCTGAAATTTTTTTTCTTTTCCCTTTCGTTTCTCTATTTTATTAATTCAAGTAATGAAAATGCATAACAGAGAAATTTTCAAGAATCCCAGCTTTCTTTATACCTATGATTTTACGTCAGCATCAAAATTACGAGCCCTAAAACAAACCGTTTCCTGAATACAGTCAGTCTAATTAGTTATTCTAACGAGCTTCAACCTTACGTACAACAAAATAATACTGGACTAAATTGTACGCAAAAGGCTGGCTTAGATTTAAACTCAGATGAACATAACAAGTTTCATTCCTCCTGACAAAAGAAATAAAACTTAGATTTCTTTTGCACTTTGTTATTACAATCCGCGTAAGTACCCAGTCATAAATCGAAACCAAATGGATTATATCCCAATAAAGAAAACTTTGACATTAAATTCACAGCCGTGAATTTGTGCAGCTAATGATTTTTTTATACAGAAGTAAAAAAAAATTAAACAACAGAGTAAAACCAGGTTGGCTTTCCTTTCAATCACACAACTTCTGTTGTGTTTGTTTGCATCTCCACAGAAACCTGCATAACAAAAGTTTTTGTCAATCCTGTCGCCAACAAAGCATTAACAAATCACGTGATAACTTCTCGGAAGGTGACATCAGCCGAAAATTGTGAGATCGAATGCTTCTTAGAAATGAAATGTGAGTCATTCAACTTAGGGCCACAACTGGAGAACGGAAATCACGTGTGCGAGCTTAGCAACTCAGATGCGATAAGAGATCCTCTAGACTTGATAACAAACCAAGGATTCATTTATCGTGGAACCAAGGTAGAGGCGAACGGAGTTAAGTCAAGAAAACCGAAAGAGTAACATCCTCTTCTGGTTAACGGTACATTATTCAAAACTTAGATGAACCTGATCTGTTTGTTAGCCTTTGTTCACGGTAACTCGCATTGTTCTTATCGTGTTTTGAATGAATGAATGAATGAATGAATGAATGAATGAATGAATGAATGAATGAATGAATGAATGAATGAATGAATGAATGAATGAATGAATGAATGAATGAATGAATGAATGAATGAATGAATGAATGAATGAATGAATGAATGAATGAATGAATGAATGAATGAATGAATGAATGAATGAATGAATGAATGAATGAATGAATGAATGAATGAATGAATGAATGAATGAATGAATGAATGAATGAATGAATGAATGAATGAATGAATGAATGAATGAATGAATGAATGAATGAATGAATGAATGAATGAATGAATGAATGAATGAATGAATGAATGAATGAATGAATGAATGAATGAATGAATGAATGAATGAATGAATGAATGAATGAATGAATGAATGAATGAATGAATGAATGAATGAATGAATGAATGAATGAATGAATGAATGAATGAATGAATGAATGAATGAATGAATGAATGAATGAATGAATGAATGAATGAATGAATGAATGAATGAATGAATGAATGAATGAA